CAGAGGTTGCTGGTTACCTAGTGCTGGCTTCTGTACCCTATTTCCAATTGCTAAACTGCATGGGGAAACAGCTAAAAATGCAGTAAGAACTATTAATATTTCTCTTCTACTTAAGCATTTGCTGATGTTACCACAGGGTATTATGCAATAACAAATGGGAGGGGATGGTCTGCATGATTCGGAACGGGAGGGCAGTTGGCCCACCAGAGAGCATATCTGTATTTAGGCGTGGTCCACACTATGAAAGATTTCAAGAACCCCTGTACTAGAGGCAACTAGAGTTCTGGCGGTGAGATTTGTTATGTGTTTCTAAATATCAGTTCTGGTTTGTTATGCAAACAATGTTGTGTTCACGCTGTTTGTTTAGCATTGATCATATTTTTGAGTTTGTTATAGACACCATAGTTTGTGCTAACATCTGCTTAATTAGCTGGATACTTACTTCTGTGTTCTTTGGACCAGTATGGGGGGGGGGAGGGGAGACAGAAATTTTAATCTGTATTGCTAAAAAGTGTTACAGAATGACTGGTAAATTCTGAACTGGGTACTGCCCTCCCAATAAGGATGTATTTACATGTGGGTTTAGCACCAGAATTTTCTCATGTCTAACTTTGATGTGAATATCTAGATTTAAAAAAAAATCAATTGTAGCCAATGGAAAACTCCATTACCCATCACAGCACCAGACTGTGAGCAGGCAAATCCTCCCAGTTTGAGTCTACTGAGTGTTAACTTTATCTTGGAATTATTTTTACATTGCTTGAACTAGGCCCCCATTAATAGAGATACCAGGTACGGTGATTCAGATTTCATGCAACGTTGCTGGAACAGCATCAGTCCAGCCACAGCACACAGGTTCTCATTATCCCTGGTCTTCTAGAAAGCTTTTACCCAATGAGCCTGGCTGTATGACATGGGCAGAAAAAAACAACAGGAAAAAGAAAACAGGGACTGTCCAAGACATCAGTGTCTTTCTAGGAATACCCAAGCCTTCTTGCAAATTATCTTCCAATCCATTTAGCAGATAAATGAATGTGTTCAACCTTCTGACTGAGAACTGCAAAGCCATGGTACATGAACAGCAGGCAATTATTCTGGGACATATACTAGCCTTATCTAAATAATAATGTTTGTGAACATTTATTTTTACTTTTTAAAATATACACAATAGGAGTTCTCCTTTCCAATATTGAACTAAAGGGAACCACTGGAATCCACTGACATCATTAGAAACACCAGTTGTCTTACCTTATGAATTTAGATCTATTTTGCTGAGATTGTTCTCTGATGTTAAGATGCCATGTTTACAAGTTCCAACCCCATGAGAAACACTCACACAGTGAACACAGAGCTGAGAGAGCTGACCCACTATAGCACATGTAATTAAGTGCCGAAAAAGAAAGCACAGCAGCTATAGAAGTATAAAGCTCAAATGCAACCACAGATAAACCAATGGGCTTTCAGTTTCAAATTGTACCTTCCTAGCATCCCTTTTTCATGATTATTTGACCTTAAAAAGATAAGGTTATACACTCAAGTATAGTCTCTTTCCGGAGAAAAAGGAAGCAGGATTTTGGCTGCAAGGAGAGTTCCCCCAAAAGCAACCAGACATCAGACGTTATTAAAATACATAATCAATGTATGAGAGAAACAGTTGCTTGATCTGATGAGAACAAGCTAATCCCTTTAAAGCCCCCTAACACTTTTACATTTCATCAGCTGAAGTCACTGATGCAACCAATTTTGGCAGTCAGGACTCAGTCACAGGAAACACACAAATAACACAGCAACTGGCCTGCGGCACCTAATCTAGTAGCGTCTAAGAAAAATGCAGCATACGTGCTTGTGACTGCTTAAAGTAACTCTTTCGGCGATTTAGCTATAAGACTAATTTCCAAAAACTTCAGTCAGTGACCACCACCACTCATGTGGAAGGTATGTGTGGTAAACTAGTAAGGGGGTACATACAAACACTATGATGCTTCAGAATATCGAAAGACAGAAAAAAAGCTGCAGGCAAGTCCCTGGGGTCTTCTAAACCAGCAGGGTGTAAACAAGACAAAGACTGTGGAGAAGCTAAAGAGTGTGCATGCACATCATTTCTCACAGGTAACTAGGATTGAACACCTAAGGTAACTGTTTATGGGTGATGCAGGTGAAACAATATCAGAGATAGAAGTGATGGAGCAAGATGACAAATTAATTGCTGAAGGCCCAACATGTCTCTTGAAAATATTAATGGTGGCCTTGGGACTGTGTTTATACATCAGCTTTTCCTTCACTACTGTGAAAAATAACAATAGTACTAAAGAATGTAATACCTCACAAAGATGGAGATACTGTAATTATGATAAGAATAAGCCAGCACAGCTTCTGTGGAGCTAAAGTCATGCCTCTCTCACATACCAGAATTATCTCAGATGTGACAACAGTGGATAAAGAGAGGAAAAAAAGGGGAGATAATTTAATCTTTCAAGAAGTTTTGATAAAGGTCCTTCAAGCAGCTATTAAGAAAATCTGGTAAGCAGAAGGAAAAGGCAGAATCCTTTCATGGATTGAAAACTGTTTGAGAGAGGAAAGAGAACAAGAATATACCATTCTCAATTGAGAAAGATGTTAATATAGCAGGCTGCCTCAGGTATCAGTACTGTAGTAGTTAATCTGGACAAGGGGTGAAAAGTGAAGAGGCAAAATATAGTGAGCACAATGTCATTCAAACTTTTAAAACTAGGGAGAATTAAAATTGGGCAAAGGGACAACAAAGTAACTGATTAAACTTAATCCAGATAAATGCAAAATACTACACAATGGAGGGACCAAGATAAAACACTCACATATATTGATGAGTTTGATGGACTGGATAATCTACCAGATCTTTTCCTTTGACCTAGGCGTTATCATGTACAGCTCAATAAAGACAGCTCAACATGCAGCCGTGGTCCACAAAGCAACTAAGATGTTAGGCAGCTATCAAGGAAGGTTAGAAAGTATTATGGACAATCCTTTATGCAGATATTTAATTATAAGTATTTGCCTTGAACACTGTGCTCAGTTTTGGTTATCTTGTACCAAACATTAAAGAAACAAGAAGAATACAGAAGCAGAAAAAACATCTCTCACTACAAGGAGAAAGAAAGAGAAATTAAATGGGAGCAAAATAAAATCTAAAAAGGAAGCATTTTAAATGTAATTATACGTCATATATGGAACTTGATGTTGCTGGATATTATTTAAACAGATTTTTAAAACTCAAACACACTAGATGCATGCATTTGTAAGTGCAGTTGTAGTTACACTAAACTAAGATAAAAATTACAAAAGCTCTCAGTCATTTTCTTCAGGACATAATCTGATCATCAGCTGGGGTTAAGAAGAAATTCTTAAATCAGACAGCATTCCCCCAATTGGTCAGATGCATTACACTTTTTTGTTGCTTTTTTATTTTTGTTTTGGATTTGTTGTGATTTACTCAAAAGTAATTTGTATAAGCCCTCTAGAAGAAAAGATACTGGATGGATCATTGTTCTTGTCTAGCAAGACAGTTTCTATATTTGTATGAATAACTTTATACAAAGATTGTCTCATATCTCTGCCTTAAGAAAGCTTTACTAACCTCTTTTATTAAATATCATTATTTTAATACTAGCATAACTAATGCAACCATTTCTTAAGCAAGAATATCTCATTACTCACATAGCATAGGTCCCAGAATTCAGGTTCTATTTTTCTATATAGTTATTTCAAGCATGGGGGGAAATATAACAACAAAAGAAGTAATACAAGTTCAGGTACTGTACCTCTGAGTACTGGTATACCAACCTGATGTCAACAATAATCAAGATGTATAAGTCAGAGAAAGAAATGACACTGTGGTAATGAGCAGGGACTGTGAACAGACTGTGAACATTTTAGAGATTCCCTCTGTGTGAATACATTCATTCATTCATTCCAGTGCAGACTTTTCTGGCATTGAATTCAACACCCACACCAAACCTTTTTGTATACCAAGAAAATTATGCTACCCAGTTACCAATGCTAGTTTGTAAAATCCTTAAGCATGCAGACTGTTCAGATCAGCTGTCAGAAGATCATTTTCCAGTGGGGAAAATGAAAACCCCACACCAATACCACTTCCACCCCTCCCTTTCAATATTTTAAGAGAATCTGTTTCTACATTTTTAAAGTTTAGAGGACAAGATGAATGAATTCTATTCATAAGAATTCCAAATCCTTCCCTAACAAAAGCAAAGACACATAAGAATTATTTTTTCTTTCAGTTTTTAGGTTGAATATAGGAACTTTTTCACCTTAGTCCAGGCCCCATTCTTGATACATACTTCATCCCTGCCTAACCGCAACTGCCCATAAAAGCCACAACGTGCCCTGAACTACAGTGTTTTTTATCAGACTCCTGCGCTGTAAGATACATACAACTCCCTATACATATATGCACCATATAGACAGAGTACAGAAAATACACTACACTCAAAACCCCCATAGCTACACACCCAGAGCCTCCCCATAGATACAGGCACCTTGTAGCCCCACACAACAGATAAGCCCTTCACATAGATTAGCTATGCCTATATGCCCCTCACATCCCATGTCCCCAGGCAGACCTCCCTGCCACATTGCCCTGCTATAGAAATGCTCCCATACAGAACCCTATGGACACCCCCCAAACACCTCGTGCCCTGCATATACCACACCCCCCATATACCACCCCCACTGCATATACCACCATGCAGACCAGTGCACATCACCCCACATACCCCGCCCCCACACCTCCTGCCCTGCCCACTCCCCCCACATACCACCCCCTGCCCTGCCCAGTCTCTTTACCGCCCAGACACCCAGGAGCTCCAGGCGGCGGGGGGGGGGCGCCCATCTTTCCCCCAGTCCTTGGGGCAGCCGAGCCCCCACACGCTCATCACACACTCCTAGCCCCGCCCGGGGGGGGGGGTCTGCGGCCGCTGCCCCGCGGGGAGCCGGCTCCTTACCGCTGGGCAGGGGGCGGCGTCCGTGCGCGCGGTCCCGGCGGGAGTCCCCGTTCCCGCTGCGCATCCTCCTTAGGGCGCGAGCGGCTGCCGGCTCCAGCCCCGCCAGCGGCGTCTCACAATGAAACTGAGCGAGCGAGCGAGCAGCCCCCGCGCCGCGAGCCTCCCCCGTCCATCCCGGGGGCTGTCGTATTGCGCAGGCGCGCGATGTATCTTGGGAAATGTAGTCCTTCCTCCTCCCGCGCTTTCCGGCTGGCGCCGTCCCCCGTTACAGCCCCGGCACCTGAGGCAGGTGGGTTATTCCCGTAGGACGGTCAGTGACTGTGCGGCGGCGCCTCTCCCCTACTCAGGGACGTTGAAGGCTCGCGGGCTGGGAGGGAGACTATAAAGGGCTCTAGAGTCAAGTCTTGCGTTATGTGGGGAATTAGCTCAAATGGTAGAGCGCTCGCTTAGCATGCGAGAGGTAGCGGGATCGATGCCCGCATTCTCCAACAAGGTTTTCATTTTTGTGTTTTCATAACTTCATTACATGAGAGCAAATCCCACAGAAAAAAAAAACATGGGGCTCAATACAGCTAAATAATTTAAATCAAGCGAGCCACCAATCATTTCAGTTGTAAACAAAACAAAAAGGGAGGGTAGGGGCTACAGCTGGCACTTTATTATTGCATTTAGTTATAATTATCTATGTCATTTCTTATTTATACAAGGGGGGGGAGAGGTGACTGTTCCTTTGCCATAAACAAATAAGACGAGATCTCTGCTCTCCGATCTGAACTCCACTTCATCAAAAATCCGTCCCAGGTAGCTCTGTCTGACTACTTGGTTTGCAGTGTTATAAACGCTGCAGTGCACTAAAAATGATCATTATGTGCGTGATTTGGGGAATTCAGACAATAGCTGGATGCCTTGCACTCCATGCCTCCTGTCCTGGGTGTTTTCTGTCAATCCAGTAACATCCGTTCTTATCTTTGGCACCATTTGCCGAAAGTGAGGAGTCATTAAAAGAGCCCGAGGAAATCATTAACAAATGCAAATGCTATTTAGTGGTGAAATTTGCAAGATTAAAAATATCTGCTTCACCCAGTAGATTAATCCAGCCCAGAAATAATGAAAAATAAAGACAAGATATTCATAGGGAAAAATTGGAAGACTGGTTTTATTAGAATGGGCATGCCAAAAATACTCAACTATTACAAAGAAGAAGAAATAGGGCTGTGAAAATCATTACCCACATTTAACAAGTATAATTATTTAAAAGAAAGAAACTCATCTTTTTTAATCCAAGTAATAATTAGAAACTGAAATTAAGGTGAAAAATCAAATAAAGAGTTCACATGTCCAATAGGAGATCTTATTGAATAATTAATTACCCTTCCAATTATCTTCAACTTTTAATAGTCAAGGAGTTTAACTTTCAACCATTCAGAAATCCAGAATTAACAAATTAGAAGGGTTTGTTCAAGGACTCAATTAACAGTTTGCAGATTAATTTTAGATGGTGATCTATGAAGGATGGTTTTGGGAGGAAATCTGAGCTCTAATCTTGACTGTGCTACAAATTTTACTGTTTGACTTTAGTCAAATCATTTCATCACTCTGTCCCTGCTCTGTAAAATGCAGGTACTACTACTTCCTTTATTTGTCTTGGTTATTTAGACTGTAAGTGCTTTGGGGCAGGGACTGTCTCCTACTATGTATATGTACAGTGCCTAGCACAATAGGTATAACACAAACAGTAATAAATAAATGGCATCACTTAATTAAATGTTTTAACACTTTGGGGTGGGTGTCTTTATTTCCCCCCTCTTTATACCTCTTCTACCATCCAAGTCTTCATACCTCCATGACCCTCCTCATAGTAAGGGGAGCTGGATGTGGCACCCTGTGAAACTCATCACTGCCACTCTGTGCACTGAGGGGAAAATACTTCCTGCAGGATCTTGCTAGCTGCTGCTTCACTTTTGCACTTCTCTACATTGAAAATGTATTGTTTGCAAGCTACAGTCTGGAGAAGGGCTACAAACACCTACACATGCATAACAATTCAAAACACTCAGCTTCTTTCGTAACATTTAATTTACAATGACAACTGGAAGTCTCCACAGAAATCTTTCAAAGTACTAGTACAGTATCTTTGCCACTCAGGACAGGGACTTTAATGGGAAGTGTCCTATGAAACTGAGGAAGGAACAGTTCAAATGGGATAGCATTACCAGAAATTCCACTTGAAAGGGGACTCTTGGCCATTGCAAAGTGATTAAGTGGTGCTTAATATAGTAACATCCACAAAATCTTAGATAGCCATGGATTTGCTACAATACTATTAATGAAGAGAGAATATTGACTAACACAATTGCAAAGCACAGCTCAAAAAGTATACAAAGTGTGTGATTTTTTATCTAGCCTGGGATTTTGCAGTGATCTTATAAAAGTTTCAGGTTTTCTGATTCCATAAACATATGAATTATCCAGATGTCAGCAAAATTGTCTTGTAAAGATATATAAATTTACACTGGTATTTGCCTGCAGCAGGCATTTAATGGGAAAGCAAAATCCATTTAATTCCCCTCTTTCATCAGTAGCTATGCAAACCACATGCAGAACATTTCTCTAGTAAACTTGTTCTTAGGGGCCAGCTGCTCTCACTCTCCATGATAGCTTTTCATGATGCAGTTTCCGTGAGTAAAACATGTTAACCCCAAAATCCAAGCAAAATCTTGGATGATATTGAAACACGTAAGCCACAGGGAAAATAAAAACATAATGTAGAGTTCAGTCACAGGACTAAAGGAAACTGAGCCTGCAATGCCCTCTGCAGGCTGCCAGAGAACTTTTCTATAAGCTCTGACAGAGTTTCATGCCATTTGAAATATCAAGTGAGAAAAAAAAGTCCTAGAAACATCATTGATAGATTAAATAGCTAGTTTATGTAGTTTAGAAAGGTCTTCTCTACTGGGTCATCTAATCCATTCCCCAGTGCTGTGACAAGATTGGTTTCTTTATCTCAGACACATCCCTGATAAAATTTCCAGTAACTTTCATCAGCTCCAATGTCAGCAATTCCACAGCCTTCCTTGGCAACTTGTTCCATAGCTGAAATGGAAAATTATTCTGAATATTTACCTACATTCTTAAACCCATTGCAAGTGGTTTTGTTCTTATTGACTAACACAGCTATAGTAGCATTATAGTCTTTGACTAAATTACATCATCAATGCTCTTCAGGGTGTACTGCACACACATCTTCTAACTAAAGCATAAACATTCCAATTACTGTATGTAGTTATTTAATACTATGTTTATTACCCAAACCACACTCTTTTCTATTTAATACTAATCTGAAACTAAGACACATCTTCCGATATTACCTTTTCTGCTATGGAACAACATGAGATTTGAATTATTAATAGTTATTCTCTCACTTATTTCTCATGCTATATACCATTGTTAGCTAGCATATTGTTAAGCAATTGTATTGCATAATAGCAGGAAAAGAGGTCAGAGTTGAAAGTGTGATTTGAGTGTCTAAAGTTAATTTTTGCATGTAGATTTTTGGTAGGGAATGTATGAACTGTTAGTATTCAAATCTTTGGGGCTAGATTCTCTGGGGCAGCACTGATGAATGGGCCTTAAGGAATTACTTATAACTCCTTGATTTGCTACCCTGACATAGGTTAGGGTATGTCTACACTACGGGATTAATCCGAATTTAGATAATTCGAATTTGGGAAACAGGTTGTATAAATTCGATTGTGCGCGGCCACACTAAGCACATTAATTCGGTTTTTAACCACATTAATTCGGTGGTGTGCGGCCACACTACCCCATTAATTTTAACCACATTAATTCGGTGGTGTGCGGCCACACTAACCCTAATTCGAATTAACAAAATCGATTTTGGCGCTACTCCGCTCGTCGAGGTGGAGTACAGAAATCGATTTAAAGCGCCCTTTAATTCGAACTAAATGGCTCTGTTGTGTGGACGGGTGAAGGGTTAATTCGAATTAACGCTGCTAAATCCGAATTAATCCCGTAGGCTTGGTCTACACTAGGACTTTAATTCGGATTTAGCTGCCTTAATCCGAATTAACCCTTCACCCGTCCACACTACAGAGCCAGTTAATTCGAATTAAAGGGCCCTTTAAATCGATTTCTGTACTCCACCTCGACGAACGGAGTAGAGCCTAAATCGATTTTGTTAATTCGAATTAGGGTTAGTGTGGACGCACACCACCGAATTACTGTGTTTAAGTTAATGGGGTAGTGTGGCCGCACACCACCGAATTAATGTGGTTTAAAACCGAATTAAGGTGCTTAGTGTGGCCGCGCACAATCGAATTTATACAACCTGTTTCCCAAATTCGAATTATCTAAATTCGGATTAATCCTGTAGTGTAGACATACCCGTAGTGTAGACCAGGCCTTAGAGTTGCTTTGGAGTATTCTACTCTATACCAGCTGGCAGTGGTCCCCAAGTAGGGTGACCAGACAGCAAATGTGAAAAATCGGGACAGGGGGTGGGGGGTAATAGGAGCCTATATAAGAAAAAAAAAACAAAAATCGGGACTGTCCCTATAAAATCGGGACATCTGGTCACCCTATCCCCAAGCCACATCTCTTCTTCCCCACTCTCAACATGCCCCTGCACAGGGGCTGCAGGAGATTTAGTTTAGATGGTTGGTACGTTATTATTATTTGTATAGCAGTAGCACCTGGGCGCCCCAGTCATGGACTAGGACCCGATTGTGCTATGAGGGTTTCCATGCACCAGGGGACTCCACAGCTGAGGACTTGCAGCTGGCTACAGCTCCCTTTGGGCTGCTTGTAGGCAGGGTGGACCAGTGATCCTGGCAGGTTCCGGATATGTCCTTATTACCATTTCCAGACATGGTCCATGTTTTCTTTTTTAACTATAATAGTCTTGGTATCATTTGTTACTTGTGGTCGCAACCTTTAATGTCAAAATAACCAGTTTTCTACCTGGACATGTTGGAGTAGCTACACTGCACTATCAATCATTACATTATGTGGGGCAGCACTGGGAACTGGAGTGTGCTTGGGATGGGCATGCATTTGGCCACTCCCTATTTTCAATAGCCACATTCTGGTAGTGTACGTTTGTTGCCTTCTCCTTTGCTACATTGTTGTCTTCTTAATCTCCAGTTCCCTATTCCAGGAACACTTCCCCCTCCACCCCCCAGGGGTCAACTAGTTACAGCAGCAGTGTTTCCAATTTAGTCGTTTTCTAACTCCCCCTCTAATTTCAATTCCTGGGGAAAACACTGCTGTTCCTCTTCTCTTATCCCTGAAAGTGGAGACTGTCAGTCTGCCCCTCCGCAGGGTGCTTTTTCCAGTCTGATACCTACTGAAGAGAGACAGAAGCTTTTGGATTTTCCCCACGCACAAGCTCTATTGCAATAGTCACATGTCTTCAGGCAGCGAGTAGATTTGGAGCAGGAAAAGGCTAATGCAAACAAAGGAGGAAGTGATCATGTGTCTGACTGTCAACATAAGCTACATCTAGTTCTAGTACATTCAGTGCCTTAGCACAGCTACAAGTACTGTATGGGAGCCAGACTTTTACGTTCCTTTTGCCTTCGGAGATTACCGTGTTTCTGGATCAGAAAAAGAGGTAAAACCGAATTCTAATGGCAAGAAATGGCTTTAGACACATTATTAACTATAATGCAACAAAACCACCCACCATGCTGGGTCCAAGCTCAGCTGGCTAGCCCGAGACTCTGCCAGTGCCACAACGTTCACACAATTATATCTGGTGTGCTAGTGTAAGCCCTGCTTGCATGGAGCTGTCTACCCAGGCTGGGAGGCTCACTCTTAAGCTGCAGTGTAGATGTACCCTGGATCTCCACCCCCAAGAAGCTGAGTGTTCCTCACCCATTCCTACCAGGCGGGATATCACTGTACCTGGAGTCCCTCCCTACCAATCTTTACCAGTTATTTCCTCTACGCATGGGGAATCCCTGCTCACTGTGGGTAGGTTTTCCCAGACGCTTCTTAATAAAGAGCGAGCTGAAGTCCACCCATCCACCTCACTTTATCAGTGGAGCCGCAGCCCCTCTTGGCTGGGGGACAGGGCAGTGTGTTGTGCCCTGAAGAGGCTCCCTTTTGGTGGTCCCCCTGCTGAATTAAAATGGGAGCCAGCCAGCAAGGCTGACCGTCCCGTGGCCACCAAAGACTGTCAAAGGTAATGGAGGAGATGGAACCAGGAGGATTGGGGTGCAGCCAGGGGCTGGGGGGGAAAAGGTGCCTCAGTTGTCGGACAGCATCCTGTGTAATGTGGGTGTATTGGTGAGCAGTGGCACTGCCAGGGAAGCTGAGATTTGGGGGCGGGGGGAAGTCAGAGGAGCCACAAATGAGGACAATCTTCTTTTTGGGTGGTATGGGGTTTGGATGGCTGGAGGGAACTATAGCAGATAGCAGAGAGGTTGGGGTAGGTGAGAGGGGATGGGGCCCAGCTGGGGAAACTGGGGGAAAGGGAAGTTGGGGAATTGAGAAATTGGGTTCTGATGGCAGAAAGAGGTTGGCCTAAAAAGGTGGTTTTGGCAGTGGGAGTTAGTCCTGTCATAACACTGCCATAGACTTGCCATTTGTTCTAGTTCCTGGAATCACACTGAATATGTTCAGAGTCTGAGCAATAAGCAATTCGATTTGCTCTATGGTTATCATTTGTCATCAGCCCTGGCCATGCTTTGTAGGGGGGTAGATCACAGCCATTCAACTTTAATTTCCTTGACAGAATTTATTTTAATGTGGGAGGAAAGGGGTTTTGCTTCAGCAGGGCTTTCATTAACCCTTGGCCGGATCTCCACATCCAGCTGTCTCCCTTGGTTTAGTGAGCACTTGTGTGTCACAGAAATGAATACCTTGGAAGCAGGGCTGTCGATTAATCGCAGTTAACTCATGCGATTAAATAAAAAAAAATAATCGTGATTAAAAAAATTAATCACAATTAATTGCACTGTTAAACAATAGAATACCAATTGAAATTTATTACATATTTTTGGATGTTTTTTGACATTTTCAAGTATATTGATTTCTATTACAACACAGAATACAAAGTGTACAGTGCTCACTTATATTATTATTTTTATTACAAATATTTGAACTGTAAAAATTATAAAAGAAATGGTATTTTTCAAGTCACCTCATACAAATACAGTGCAGTGGTTTTCAAACTTTTGTTTTTGGCGACCTAGTTGAAGAAAATTGTCGATGCCCATGACCCAACAGAGCTGGGGATGAGGGGTTTGGGGTGTAGGAGGGTCTCGGGGCTGGGATAGAGGGTTGGGGTGAGGGGTGGGGCTGGGAATGAGGGGTTCAGGGTGTGGGCTCTGGGCTGGGGCAGAGGGATGAGGTGTGGGAGGGGGTTCAGGGCTTTGGACTGGGGGTGCAGGCTCTGGGGTGGGGCCGGGGATGAGGAGTTTGAGGTGCAGGAGGGGGCTCCAGGTTTTGGGGTGGGGCTCAGGTCTGGGGCAGGGGATTGGGGCACGGGGTTGGGGTATGGGCTTATCTCCGGCGGCTCCCGGTCAGCGGCGCAGCCAGGGTGCAGAGGCAGGCTTCCTGCCTGTCTTCCCACCGTGGACTGCACTGCACCCCAGAAGCAGCCAGCAGCAGGTCCGGCTCCTAGCGGGAGGCGCGCAAGCAGCTCCCCACGGCTCTCACCTGCAGGCACTGCGCCCCCGCCCCCAGCTCCCATTGGCCGGGAACTGGCCATTGGGAGTGAGGAGCTGATGCTTGGGGCGGGGGCAGCATGCAGAGCCCCGTGGCCCCCCTGACTAGGAGATGCATCTGATGCTGGGACGCAGTGCGGTGTCAGAACAGGTAGGGATTATTAGTTTTTACTGGCCGGCTGCCAGGTCCCTGGGTGCTGAGCAAGGCGACCCACTGCCACGCATTCCACGATCCAGACTGGGTTGCGACCCAAAGTTTGAAAACCACTGTTGTAGTGCAATCTCTTTATCGTGAAAGTGTAACTTACAAATGTAGACTTTTTTTGTTATATAACTGCACTCAAAAACAAAACAATGTGAAACTTTAGAGCCTGCAAGTCCACTCAGTCCTACTTTTTGTTCAGCCAATCACGAAGACAAACAAGTTTGTTTACATTTACGGGAGATACTGTCGCCTGCTTCTTATTTCCAAAGTCACCTGAAAGTGAGAACAGGCATTCTCATAGCACTTTTCTAGCTGGCATCACAGCGTATTTACGTGCCAGATACGCTAAACATTTGTATGACCCTTCATGCTTTGGCCATCATTCCAGAGGACATCCTTCCATGATGATGACGCTCATTAAAAAAATAATATGTTAATTAAATTTGTGACTAAACTCTTTGGAGGAGTCTTCTGTTCTGTTTTACCCGCATTCTGCCATATATATCATGTTATAGCAGTCTCGGATGATGACCCAGCACATGTTCGTTTTAAGAACACTTTTACAGCAGATTTGACAAAACGCAAAGAAGGTACTAATGTGAGATTTCTGAAAATAGCTACAGCACTCGACCCAAGGTTTAAGAATCTGAAGTGCCGTCCAAAATCTTAGAGGGACGGGGTGTGAAGCATGCTTTCAGAAATCTTAAAAGAGCAATACTCAGATGCAGAAACTACAGAACCCAAACCACCAAAAAAGAAAATCAACCTTCTGCTGGTGGCATCTGACTCAGATGATGAAAATGAAAATGCATTGGTCCGCACTGCTTTGGATCGTTGTTAAGCAGAACCTGTCATCAGCATGGATGCATGTCCTCTGGAATGATGGTTGAAGCATGAAGGGACATATGAATCTTTAGCGCACCTGGCATGTAAATATCTTGTGACACCAGTTACAAAAGTGCCATGCAAACGCCTGTTCTCACTTTCAGGTGACATTGTAAACAAGAAGTGGGCAGCATTATCTCCTGCAAATTGTAACCAAACTTGTTTGTCTGACCGATTGGCTGAAGTAGCACTGAGTGGACCTAAATTCCCTGTAAACTGCAGAACCCGCCCGGCGGGGACCTGCTGTGGCACCCCCCACCTCAATGCCCAAACCTAGCTGTGGCCGGGGTAGGGATGCCTATCCCATGGCCCCAGCCCTGGAGCTGCTGCGGGAGAGAGCTGCGGGGAGAGAGCTGTGGGGAGTCCTCTCTTCCTGCTGTATCCCCAGAGCACCCTCCTGCACAGCCAAACCCCTCATCCCCGGCCCCCCCCCCGACCCCCCCCCCCCCCCCCACACCCCAACCCTCTGCCCCAGCCCTGAGTCCCTCATCCCCCACCCCCATATTGGTGCACATAACAAAATTCATTCTGCACATGGGTGGGGAAAAATGAGAGGGAACACAGGAGTGGACTTGTAGGCTCTAAAGTTTTACATTGTTTTATTTTTGAATGCAGTTTTTTTTTTTGTACATACACATGTAGAGTTAAGTTCCGCTTTCATCATAAAGAGATTGCACTACAGTATTTGTATGAGGTGAATTGAAAAATACTATTTCTTTTGGTTTTTACAGTGCAAATATTTGTAATAAAAATATAAAGTGAGCACTGTACACTTTGTATTCTGTGTTGTAATTGAAATCAATGTATTTGAAAATGTAGAAAACATCCAAAATATTTAAATAAATGGTACTCTATTATTGTTTAACAGCACCATTGATTGCATGATTAATTTTTGTAATTGTTTGACATCCCTACTTGGAAGATAATGGGTGAAGGGTTGCAGATGGGACAGTGCATCTATACATCTCATATGACCAGCTATCTATCAGCTCTGAGTTATTTGTTTTCTGGCAGTTTATATAGCCAGCTGGCTATAGATTAATTATATACAACGCCCATCGGGCTGGGGAGTTTCCTGGACTTTTCAACTTGTTCTTTCTCTCTCTCTCTCTGGTTTCCTATAGAGCCCATCATTACAGCATCAAAATGTTTCATGAGGATTTAGCAACATGACTCATTATAATCTGTGGGTAGGCTTGGCAGGATTCAATTTAAATCATTAGTCATTGGTACATGTCAGTTTCACCTGACACTGAAATCAACAAAAAAAATATTGATATCAGCAAGCACAGCTTCCCCCACACCTAGTGCCCACAGGGATCCGGTGTCACCAGCCCTGCAGGGAGCTCTCTGTAGCCCTGCTGTCACAGTGACACTCACTCACAGGCCAGGAGTGCAGGGGCTATCCCTGGCAAGAGCCATTTGACAGCAAGGTGGCTTCCCCCATGGCCAGGGTCTTGTCCTCCTCCCTGGTTGGGGTTCACTGCTCCACTGGGCCAGAATTGCAGGCTCCTCCACACCTGACACCCAGGTATCTCAGGCCCCTTGGCAGCACTAGGAGCCCCCTATAACTCTTGTCAGTGCTGCCCTAAGCCTCTTCCCCCCTTATTTTCCTGCAACTGTGAAAATTCAAATAAATAAAAATTGAAAAATAATGCTTTAAAATATCTGTTAAAATTACAAAAAATAAAAACTGGATTCTGCCAAGCCTGTCTCTGGCCCAGGTGCATGCAAGCTGCGCCCAGCAGCTCTCCCAGGGGCTGGGCTTTAGGAAACTTTCTGCAGTCTCTCCATACTGACCGTAATGGTCCTCCAGGGACCATTACGCTGGCCAAGGATTGCCAGAGATGG